ATATCAAATTCATAATATTTTATAAATTTTAAAAATTTATTAATTAAAGTATTTTAAATTAATTTTATATGCATTTTTATATCAAATTCATAATATTTTGTAAATTTTAAATATAAATATTATATTATATTATATTTAAATTTCATAAAAAAATTTATATAAAATTAATTATAAATATTACGATAAAAATAAAACTCAACTTGTGCAGAGACGGGGATGGAAAATCTCTTATAATACTGTTAGCGCCAATTGGGACCCAGCACGAAGAATCCCAGATACCCAGTCGGAAATTCAAAATCACTCATTGGAAGGCGGTCCACACGTTTATAAAAAGTTTCCACCATACCAAATCCATTCTCTTCTTATTTTTCAATTTCTTCTGTTTTACCTTTTCATCCTTTTATCATCCTCTCAAAGACTCAATCCACACGAAAGCTTTTTCAGAAAAAAAAAGGAGGATCGACGATCAATCTCTTCTAAGGTTCGGTTTCGTTTGATTTTGTATTTTCTTCGTTAATCTGTGTGTGGATTTTTTTTTTTTTTTTTTTTTTTTTTTTTTTTTTTTGCTTTTGTTTTCGATGTTGATCTGAAGGGATCTAGGTTGTGGATCGCAGGTTTCGTGATGGCGTCGAAGCGGATCTTGAAGGAATTGAAAGATTTGCAGAAGGATCCTCCTACATCATGCAGCGCTGGTATTGCATTCAGTCTAACTCTTTGATTCTGTATTTTTTTTTGGATTATTTTTTGGTTTTTGATTTGTTTGGCTTGATCTACGTGGCTGTTGTTTGTTGAATCGCTATTTTTCGCTTTCTGTTGTGATGTTAGGTGTTCATGTTGAGATTGAATTCTTCTGTTTGTAATATTGTGTGCGTGCTCTTTTTTGTTAAACGTGATGATTAAGTTAGGTGAAATAAACTTCAAATCGCAAAGATCTGATTGATGCTGATATTAGTTGTTTTTTGTTGATGTTAGCTGTGAAGGAATTTTGAGGTTATAGGATGATATTTGAATTTTGTCTGTTCTTTGATGGATTGCTGGTTTTTGTGTTCTGTTGTGATGTTAGGTGTTCCTGTTGACATTGAATTCTTCTGTAGGTAATTTTGTGTACACATGTGCTTTTTCGTTGTTAAACATGACGATTAATTTAGTTTTGTGAAATAAACTTCAAATCATAAACAATGATTGATGCTGATACTAGCTGTTTTTTTTTTTATTGATGTTATCGATGAAGGAATTTGAGGCGATTGGGTGATATTTGAATTTTGTGGTCAGAAAGTGATTTTATCTAGTCTTTGAGCAGGAAGAGGATTGTTGTCATGTGACAGGGACGGATGAGTTGTGTGTTGTCTCACGTTTCTGTTATGTTAGGCAAATTTTTCGAATTTCATGTGTGGGGCTGTCCTCAGATATTCAATTTAAGATGAGAAATAGCATAAATCCACAGTATTACAAAATCATTTGTTATATTAATATTTGCAATATTTTTTTCTACAATGGTTTACACAATATGATGTGGGACTTTGTGGTTGATTCTTTTTAAATGGCAGCTTATGCATGAACTGGTATACAACTGTTTGTTTAATGCCACATCATATTTATATAAACCATTGTTCAAAAGAACATTCTATGTTTAGCATTGCTGTTTGTAAATCAGTAGATGACGTGGACTGTTTTGAGGCTAGAGTGAGAATTCTCTCTGTAGTTACACACACACACACACACACACACAAATAGGGAATTGCATGTTTGACAGCAGTTGTATTGTGTCACAAACTTAAGTTGTATTATGTTGCATGCATTTGATGTTGACAACTTTGAGGCTTACTTGCAAGTATGCTGTGGCTATCTTCTTTTTTCCTTGTAATGACGTTTTTCTTGTTTATGGGTCTCTTCTTTCTTCTTCTACCTATATTTTTCCTTTTGTCTTGGGAGGGTGGGGATAGGGTGTCGATTGCTGTTGCTGTAGGGAGTATGAATAACATCCATTCAAGAGCCATGTAGGCTTGAAGGTTTGAATTACTTTTGGATTTTTGTCTTGTTTGTATGGAGAGCAGGACGGTAGGAGTGAAGTTAGGTTTGTAAGGATTTGGCAGAATATTCTAATTTAGTTTGTTTTTAACCTGTTGTCATTCCAGACATCCAGAAATACAGTTGAATAGATGTTGTAGTTTTGCTGTGATTTGGAAGCATAGAACACACTGTTCTTTGAAGGAAGATTTCCGGACTAACTAATTAGTTTAAAGCATAAATGACCAGTGAAAATTCTTTTGTTTACATAAAGTTGTTAAACATTAGTTCTCTGGTTCCTAGTTAACCTTGCAATATTGGCAATGTTGTTTGGGTTGGGCCTGCTATTAGTTATTGTTTCCAAGTGTTTTGTGGATTCATGATTTTGCTTTTTGTATGCTATTTTTGGAGTATTCTAATTATAATGAATAAAGAAAGTCTGGAACCAACCTTTTCATTTCAAAATTATTGTCTGGTTTCTAGGCCAAATTTCTTATTGGATTTGTGATTGTCTTGTTCAGTCTTCTGTTTCATGTTTCGTTTGAGGCAAAAAGCTAAATAAGCCTCCTCAATGAGTCACAGGAGAAAACTTCATTACACAATTCAAGCTTATTTTCTTCTTCTTCTTCTTTTCTTCATTGAATTGGTGGCAACTCCTGTTAGTCATTGCATGCATATTATGAATCTAGCCAATGCTATGGTTCTGATATTTTATGTGATGAATTTTGCTTCTGATATTTATGCTAATGAATCATGTATCACCTTTTTGTTATGCATGTGAAACTTTGCAGGTCCTGTTGCTGAAGACATGTTTCATTGGCAGGCAACTATTATGGGTCCTCCGGACAGTCCTTATGCTGGGGGTGTTTTCCTGGTCACCATCCATTTTCCTCCAGATTATCCATTTAAGCCTCCCAAGGTAATTGGGTTTTTTCATTGCTTATGTTTAGACACTTTTACTCTGTCAACATTTTTCTTTGTGATCTATTAGCAGAACTAGGATTACATGTTTTTAGCTTGAAATTTTTTCCATAGTTTTTCTTTTAATAATTGTAGTAATAGTAGTAATATTGTGCACTCATGCTCATCATATTTGTGCTCGTTTCTCTAAAGACCATTCCCCTACTAATTAAAGTTTTATTAGTTTGACTGGAATGATACCACCTTTATTAAATTTACCGAATTCTTTAATCTTTATCCCAAAACCTGGAAGCAGCATTAAGAGTACATTGGAAACTTGAAAATGTCCATTAAAATACATTTGTTATTCTAAGAAAATCCTCAAAATGTTGGAGATAATCCCTCAATAGAGAAAAGGGATGATCATTGTTTTCTACTAATCAGAGAAATGTTCAAGCATGCACTGGAGGCTTGATTCGAGACCAGACTGGTCGTTGGCTACATGGATTTGCAAGACATATAGGCACTACCTCAAGCTTCATTGCTGAGCTTAGCTGCTTAGGGGCTGCCAAGAAGGTTTACACTTAGCTCTTTCGCTTGGAATTCATCAGTTGGTTTTGGAAATGGATTCTTTGCTGGAAGATCAGATGGCTCGGGGGAGAAAAAGGACAGATGGAATGGTTTCAGTCTTGTTCTTGGATATTTTTCAGTGCTCAATTCCTTTGATTCTTGTATTGTGCAACGTACACATTGAGAGGGCAATTTTGCAGCGGACTTCATGGCTTTGTTGGGACACAGTTTGTCACATGGTACAGTTTTCCATCAGACTCCACCATCAGCCATAGGATTTATTCTGCAAGGAGATATTGCAGGGACCATGTTCTGTAGGAGTTAGTACTATTTTAGTTTCCTGTGCATAAAAAAAAAAAAAATCTGAGAAATGTTTGTCATGTAGATGGCCCACATGACAGTAAGTGCTTGGATGATTCACCCCCTGTGCCCTCATAACCCTATTTATCAATGTAAATAAGTTGTTGTTTTGTCCAAAAAATAGTTAAGTGCTTAGATTTTGAATTATAAAATAATAATAATAATAATCATGCTGACAGATTGAAAAATGTAATCATATGTTTATGTTGATCTATTGCAGGTGGCATTTAGAACAAAGGTATTCCACCCAAATATAAACAGCAATGGAAGCATTTGCTTGGACATCTTGAAGGAGCAGTGGAGTCCCGCACTAACAATTTCTAAGGTTCTTGTTCTATAACTCACTGTTTTCTTATTCACAACTCTTCCACTGTATTTATAATTTTGCTATTCAGCACGCAGGCATTTTGACCATTTTCATATAATTTGAGTGAATGATTATGTTGTTTAGGTTTTTCTTTTTCCTATGTTTAGATTGGGTTATTATTATAGAAAAGTGTTTTGCAAAAAAAAAAGTGCAGGAATGACTGAAATTATTTAAATACCTTTAATGAATTGCCTATACATATTGATTCAGTAATGGCACTTAAGTCTTTTTATAAGTATTCCTTTACTTTTTTTGTATTCCTTTATGCAAGTCGATCCGAAATTCGCCATCTCCTTATTATTATTAGCCTCTAACACGTTCTCTGATTTCACTTTTAGGTATTGCTGTCAATCTGTTCGTTGCTGACAGATCCAAATCCTGATGATCCATTAGTGCCGGAGATTGCTCACATGTACAAGACAGATAGGAACAAGTATGAGACAACTGCAAGGAGCTGGACCCAGAAATATGCCATGGGCTAAACGAGCTTTGGTGTGTGTGAGTGGAGCCCCTTCTTTTATATTTTCTTTGGTTATTCCGTTCCATGTATGAATCCGCATTCCCATGTCAATCCTAAAATTTAATAACTTAAACGTTTAATTAACGCTTTGTTAAAGAAGAAACGCACATCTTCAATCTATTAGTGTCTCGATAATGTTTCTCTGATCCATCGAATTATCTCATTCGTAAAGTTGCAATGTTACTTCGCAATCAGTCCTAGAATTTGTTGAAAGAGATCGATAAACATGTTCTGCCCTTGGTTACAGGAAAAGCACATCCCTATGGACCATGTTACTCTGATGCTTTCATTTATTCTTTAACCAGCGTGTATTTCTGGGCCATTTTCCTACCGTGTAGTGGGCATGAGTTTCTAGTCTCTGGGTCCTGGATAATTAAAATTATGATGATATTGCGTATTAGTTTAAATTTATTTTTAAAGAATTAGAGTCATAATTTTAAATGGTATTATTTTATTTAATTAAAATTAAATTTAAAATTTAACTTTTTATTTCATTAAATATTGATACTTAAATTTAAAAGTTGATTGTATTTAGAATGTATAATTGGTTTATAGATGCAGGTAGATTTTTTACTTTAAATTTGAGTTTTAATTTTAGATTTTTAATTTTTTTAAAAAAATCGAGATTAATAGGTAATATCTTTCGAAAATATACTAAATCTCCCAAGGCTCATGATTTATATCACAAATCTGGTATCTCTAACTCTGAGAAGGAGATTGCTATTATGTTACCAAGTTATTGGCATGACAATTACACTCAAGCAATATACAGTAATCGATTTTGTGAAAAATGATATGTATGGTGTTTTTAGTTATGATAGATGATGTTTACTAATCTAACCTTTTTTTTTTTTTTTTAATACAAGTCAACACAATTTATAGTCGCATTTTCAACATAGGATTCCAATACTTTTCTTTTGTGAAAGATGACATGGTTTTTTAGTGATGAAAGATGATGCTAACTGCTTTGCATTTTTTTTGAAAATACAATTCAACACAAAATAAGAGTCAAATTTCCAACACAAGACTCCAATGTCTTCTGTTCTCCTGGTACTAAACAGAGACTTCCTGAAATTCCGTATTACAGAAGGATACATGTATCCTGCCAAACTATTGGCAAAATAATGCTTCTAATGTCTTTGTCTATCCATATATATATATATATATATATATTTTAACAGGAGAAATGATTAGTAGTTAGGTTAAGAATTGTTAATAACTAGATATTTAATCCTTAGAACAAGTGATCTCTTACCCCCTCATTGAAGCATGCGGCCAATCGGATCGCATGGTGGAGTTACATATATATTATATACTTCGAAAGACCCATGAAGCTATCTCCTCCTAAAGGAGGATTCATGCATTTGGCAAAATTATTTAGAGTTTTGTTTCCAATGTCTAAGTGGTCCCTTTGGTCCAGCAGGACCATCAAAAGGCTTGAGAATTCGGAGCATGCATTGATTGCTAACCCAAACTAAAGGAGTTTCTAA